CGTTTCCCGCTCCCGCCGGTCCCGGGCTCAGCGCGGCCCCGTGAGCTCGGCGGCAGCGCCCCCTGGCGGCCGCTCCCAGGCGGGCCGGGGATCTCTCGGGGGATTCCCTCGGGAGCATCCCGGGACTGAGCTCACAGCTCCTCGGGAACTGCTGGACACTGCTGGAGCCTGTTTAATCAGCACGAAAATACTCACCAATTCACTGGCCACAGAATCCAAAACCCCACTGAACTATTTGGTCTTTTCTCCCAGTCTTTTACTCAACAGTAAATATAAAATTCATGGTTAACTATTTGCATTTTAGCTTTAAAGTATCATAGAAGGCACTTTGGTTTCTGATCTAAATCAGAAATAAACTTCTAATGGATGCATGAGAGAAACTACACTGCTGAGACATGTAACTGCTAACAAGTGAGGGCACCAGCAGCAACAATTCACATAAAGGATGAAGTTCTGTTAAACTCCACCTTTTGGGGCACAGAAAGGTAAAGAAAAGTAAGAAAAACACAGACACAGTACACAGTTATTTTATTGAAATACTTGAAAAGGCCAGCAATGGAAAAATAGGTTTGTCACGAGGAATTTAATGTTTGGTTTACTTGATCGTTAAAAAAGCTGTGTCTATAGCTTTCTAGCCCATTACAGAATGCACTGTGATCCATGCAACTAATATACTACAGTAGAATAGGCACTGTGTACTATTGTAGTTTTCTCTTATACACAGCTTCCAATGAGTATGACTGACAGATGTGAGAAATTAAACTGCAACACTTTCCAAATTATAACAGTTTATAACATACAAAATCTGCTCGTCTTGATTCATGAGGGCTGTAAAACACAACATAGTGAAAAATGAAAAACACGGGTTACATACAGTATATGAAGTTGACCTGGCAGTTTTCAAAGTTTACTTTTTTTTTTTTTTCCTTTTAAAAGGAAAACCAGACTCTAAATATGTCACTGGTCATGTAAAATACAAAATCATAGGCCAGGACAGCAAAGGTAACTCATTCCTGAAATACATTATTAGAGGGGCAAGTTTGTTCATCAGTTAAAAATATGAATGAAAATCACAAATTCTGCCTGGTATAGCTTATAGTCCAAAAAGATGAAGTCACTTCAGATGAAAGTGAAATAAATAAGCAATCCTTGAGGAAATATGATCCTTGAGTTGAGTCTACTCTACTGGAAATGAATTTCACCTATACACTAGAATGTCACCATAGTGAACATCTAAGAACGGTATTTTGAATAGGTTTTTGCGAAGTAATGTCTTACTTGCTTTAATATGTACAAGTTATTTACAACAAATTCCCTTTTGGCCTCACAAGTTAAGCCATTTTAGCTGGCAGTTAAGATGCAATTCCTTTTTTTCCACACATTACACAATACTGTAGTTAGAGCTATAATTTAAAATAATCTTATGCATGAATTACAAATATTAATAAAGTAACTCTGCATATATAAATATTTCTAGCAGAATTTAAAGCATTCAGAATGTACATAAAAGTGGTTATTTATTTATTTATTTATTTGGTAGGGCCAGATGTGCTTCTTCTCAGATCATCGCTGCTTTAGTAGTGCTTTGTACATGGCAAAACCCAAAACTGCAAACACAGTAGCACCAAAACTTGCTCGGAGCCAGAACGTTGAGCTCTTGAGGTCTGCTTGCGTCACATGCCTGAAATTTAACACATATACAAAACCAGGTTAATTCCATGACACGAACTCCAGACAGCTTGTGCAAAACTACTCTGCTTTTGGAAATTCATCACTACACTTGTCACAGGCAAACAGCTCACAATTCAGCCTTATTAGCATTTTACAGTCATTTTGCTTTTCTTAAAGCTCGGGATTTCATCTTCAGCCCTGACCACATCCAATCTCCCTGAAGTCAGAGCGCTCACACGGCTGATGAGAAATGCAGGAGCTGATAATGACTCATGGATGTGGGGAGGGCAGGGTGTCTCCTTTCCGAGTACAAGCAAGCATTCAGGAAAATGAAACAAAAATAGCTACAAATAATTAATAACTCATAGCGAGAACAACTCTGTCCAGCAAAATCCTTTTTTTCTTTCTTTCTTTTCTAAATGTTGACTTTATTGTTTCTGCTTTTCCATGAAAAACTTCCCAGTCCTGTTGAATATATACTTTTTCTATCCCCCCAAAAAAGTTTACTGACAAGTAGCAAGTAATATTTTTCCAAAAGCTAGAATCAAACCATTTTTTAATCCCTTTCTTCCCAGTAGGCACAAGAACAGCAACAGAAACAGTCATCCAACACCAAGCTGAAAGCTAAGAGAGAGTGCAAGTGAAACAAGCAGTGATGATGGCACCAACAGAAAAAGACAGTATGGAGTGACTGTATGACAGAAAAGCCACATCTCACATGACAGTAGAGACAGGCAATGACCCAACTCTCCCAAATATTGCAAGAAGTCTGTGAACATGCTCAGTTAAACACCCTCGACAGCAGTCTGAAGTATGACAGCTTACCAGAAAGCAGGAGCTACCATTTAAAACAAGTTATCATAAATGCCATAATTCAAAGCACAGAAAATTCCTAAACAATAGTAAAGTTTATTTTTTGTTTGTTTACTTTAGAGATATAACTCAGAATAGAACTTCACTAGCCTACATATTTTATATTTGTTAATCACCACAGGCTACTCAGTGAAGCTGCAGGAGGGTTAAGTAAAGGAGCACAGAGATCCTAAGCACACACAGGAGTTCATAGAGTGAGAACTGCAGAGCTGTAGCTCACAAGCTGTTTAACAGAGCAGGAATTGCTACTTGCTATCAAAACACACAAAACCAGTTTTGGATATACTTTAGTAGACATTTGCAGGAGCCGTATCAGCCAGATAATTAATCAGTGTTCTGCCATACCACATGCTGAAGAACAGGCTCTTTGATGCACACACAGCTGCTCTTTAGTCTAAAAAATCCTGATCTTATGTAAGAATGTCTTGCTGGGTTATAGAACAGACCAAATCCAAGAATTCCTGCAAGCATTAGTTTTTCTACATCTAGTTTTGACAAAGTCTCTGCAAACTGGATGTCAAGTGGCTTGCTGAGGGATAGAAAGGGAAAATGCAATGGCAAAGTCACCTGGGTTTGGCTGTTTTTACCTGTCTTCAAGCAAACGTGGACCAAGAGATGACTCCATGAAGATGGAATCTTCTACAGAGTGGACGGCGTGCACCTGCTGCATAATCCTGCTCTCCTCGTCTGCTAACAGCATGGCCCCCACCTCAGCTAGGTAGGCTCTTAACCTTTTCACACACATGCACAGTGCAGTTCATTGCATGGCTCAACAACAGCAACCCTCTCAAATCAAAAAGCCCAGAGAATTTCTGATTTATAGCCACCTAGCCCCTGATTCTTGCACAGTTGCTAAAAACTTAGTGCTCGGGGAAAACCAGAAATAAATAGCGTTTGTGCTTTTAATAAGCTGTGTATGATTTCATGTAGCTAAATGCCATTGCTTTAAGGACAAAGAAACCTGTTTAAGAAACTGGATTTCTCTTCCCACTCCATCTCCACAGCTTCAACTTCCATGTGTCCCACAGGACACTGCAATACCCCTGCACCATATATGCACATCAGCTGTAAAACTGATGAGATCTCACTACTGTTGAGAACTCAAAGACTATTTTATCACTACAGTGGTAGTTTGGAGTCATTTCTAAGTAAAAGGCTGTAAAATCCTTGTCTTCAGATCTGTAAATTATAAAACTAATCTGTGTATGTAAAATGAATCACTTGTAGGAACTATGATTTTACTTGATTATATTACAAGTTCTGTTGGATAGTACACAGTACCTATTCTACTGCTGGATGAGTATTTGTCTAAGTAACAAGTCTCCAGTTTAATTTGGTAAATTCAAATGCCCAACTATTTTAAAACCCCATCCCCTTAAATATGCAAATGTATGTTTAAATTGCAAATTAATACTTTTACTTGCTTCATAAAGCACTATCTCTCACATCTAGATTTTCTGATTCCTATCTATAGTTTGCCCTGTTTTGCACATGTCCATATTTAATAGAATGCAAGAAAATTGCTGAGCACGCTTCATCCTTCTAAAAACAATTAACATGTTCTCAGTCATGATAAAATCCTCTTGTAATGTCTAAAGGGAGACTAAATTGGCTTTGATCCCTCTTCTAAGCCTAACAATAGCAGACTCTTTCATTTAAATAAGGAACTAATTCGAGACAGGGACTTGTTCTACAACCTCAAGGAAATCTACTCCGAATGTCTCAGCTTGAAAATCCAAAGTTTTAAATGTTAACTGAAATTCAGAACATTATGGATGTCTAACTGCTTTACAGCTTCATGAACATCCAATTTTTCCTCTTTCCATGTTCCTTATGCTGTCATAAAATCCATTTTTACAACTTTAATCTCTAATATTGTTTAGCTGCCATTAAAGGAACAAAAAAAAAATCTGAGATAATAAAAAAGGATCAATATTTGTTTCTAGTGCAGGTTCCTAGACATGAAGCTGGCTACAATGCACAAAATCCTTTTTCAATACACACTGAAAAATTCCACCTTTTCAAAAAATTACATTCAAACTTTTTTTCAGCCTAGTTGTGTTTATGAAACTAATTTTCACCAGTGGTGGAAATTTTTACTGCCTTGTTAGTGAGTAACCCTGAATTCGAAAAAGTATTTTCTCCAAGGGTAAAATATCTAAATAGATGGGCACTTTTACACACAGAGAGTAGTAGTCAGGACTCCATAAATTAAGCTATACTTGAAACTCTTGCTTATTGATAATAAGACAGGCTGCTGTGTGTACTTAATCATACAATTACTTCCACACATACAAAAGTCTAGAAATCTCGCCTTTGGCACAAAATTCAGACTTTAATGCACATTTTGGAAATAAATAAAGAAAAAAATGGTGGGTTTTTATTCAAACTACTCTTAAGAG